TCATAATCAACAACGTTCCTTATGGGATTGATTTGGATCTTGACACATTGGCTTTTTTTATGTGGCAATACTAACTCAGGAGAAAATGTGGAAACGTCAAGTCTAATGTAAGAGGTGTTCCTTTTGTCGTGTATTATGATTAATTTGCATCTTGATGCTTGGATTATTTTGTTTTACTGACACTATGAATACTGAAGAAATATCAGTTCAGAGACTTCACAGCTTGATCGGTGTCTTTTTACTGCCCATATTACCAGATCACAGCATTTACACTGCATTCGGTTATGGTCCAGTAATGCTAATCAGTTTTGTATTTTTGCTTTGTTGTAGTCATTGAATTAAAGTGCATTGTACAGCGTTTGTGGTCAAAATTAACATGGATTGAAAGTAATTTCATGATAAATGCATGTAATGTCTACTGGGATAGCACAGCACGCTGTCCAGACCAAAGAAATAAAAATGCAACTCTTTGAAATCCGTGGTCAACCATTGTGAGAAAAGAAGTGTCCTTAACTGTATTGAATGTGCACTTGTAGTGACATTAAGTCCTATTTAACTGGGTCAAAAAGCACTTTGATGTTTATCTAATTGTATTTAATATAAATGTCAACTATACAACATTTTCAATGTATAGCAAAAAAACTCACAATTCACATACACTGCAAAACGTGATTTTCTTACTTAGTATTTTTGTCTAGTTTTCTAGTATACATATCTAAATATTCTTGAATCAAGATACTTTTACCTGACAAAGTAAATAAATAAATGAATAAATAAAGAACAACTTAAAGCAAGCAAACATATCTGCCAGTGGGGTAAGAAAATTAATCTTAATTCAAAAGCTAAACAAGATTATTTTGCTGATATTTTTCCTTGTTTTAAGCAAAAATCTAATTTCCCAGAAAACAAGACATATCTTAAGTGATTTTACTTGTTAAATAAACGCATCTTGATTCTAAAATATTTTTTAGAGTTTTTTATTTATAAGTAAAAAAAGCATTTTTATTTGCAGTGTAAGTAAATTATATTTATGTAGGCCTAAATCATTTTTGTACTATTTTATTGAAGCTTTTTTCTTTTTTTCACAAGGTAATAAATAAAAAAGTTATTTTCATTTGTAATGAAACGTTAGTCTCGCGCATCCACAGTTAATTATTTTATATTCGCTTTGAAAAATAGCGACTCGCGTATTGAAACTAATTAGTTTTTAAAATTTAAGAGGGGTACAGCAGCGGTTTTGTTTAGAGCTGAGGCTTGCTTAAATTTAAAATAACTTATAAATTAAATTAAAATAATTCAAACAGTAAATCAAATACGGTCCTAGCACAGTCCGGCCGTACTATTATGTGACGAGGGGAGATTGCGTAACGCTGCTGACCGGAGACCAGATTTCTGAGGCACGCTAGACCTATCCTAGCCCGGATTTGAACCAGACCATCATTTTCTGATCTCAAATAAAACGATAATAAATCATAACAACGATGTCAATGACAGTAAATCCCACAGTGTCCCTGTGGCTTGAAACACGCGGCGCTCCCCCGGTCCCGGCTCAGGTGGTGCGGTCCGGTCTGGAGCAGGAAGTGGGAAGCAGGAAGACTGCGGCCGGGAGCGCTCACGATCTCTCTTCATAATCATAACTATTATTACATTCTCTGCGAGCCTTATTCGTTAAACAGCACGTGCATTAAGGAGACCGTCGAAGTACACCGTAAGTGTGACGGCGTGATGTTACAGGTTTGAAGCGGGCGAGAGGACCTAACCTGGAGTCCTTATTTCTCAGCTGAACGCTTTTATTCCGCGTTATTTCTGCTGTTTGCTTGCATTAGTGTGCGCGGTTTAATCTCGTTCGGCTGCGTGCATGTGTACGTGTCCTTTCACATATTGCATTAATTAACCTTAACTCATTAGTAGAGGCGTTTGGTGGAGATGATGACTAACTAGGTCCAAGCGACGGTTGTTTAGTGGCCTCGGTAGGCGTCTTCCCTACAGTGCGAGTTCACTGTAGAAGTGACACCTAGATAGTGATTGTGCGAGTGTGAAGTGTCCTGTGTGTGTGTGCTCCAGACCAACACAGATGTGCTGCTCATTTGGAGATCAGTTAATGATGTGGAGGTTAAAGGTGGGGTAAGGGATTTCTGGTAGCCAGTGTTGATATTTGAAATCAGCAAAACAAACACGCCCCTATTCTGATAGCTCCGCCCCACACATACGGACACAACCCTGGCAGCGATTAGTTCTGTGAAACAAAGCAAAACCAATGTTACACCGAGTCTACGGACGCGAGCGGCGCGACAAATCCCGACAGAACACTGCTGCCGGGTTCTATTTATGACGCGCTGACACGAATCTCAAATGGTGTTCACCGGTGGTTTGATCGCGTCCAGTGTACTAGACAGACTTCAGCTGTTGTAGACACTGTTACTCACCGTCGAGAAGAAACAAAGCAAGCTCGGCGTTCGCCCGCAGGCCTCCGCTCCTCGAGTTCTCTCCAGCGCTGGAAAGCTGATCCGATGTTTACACGGATCCTACTGTATGCCTTATCGTTCCGCAGATGTTTTCCTCTTTTATTTTTTATCTGCCGTCTCTATCTCTCTGTCGCTGGCGCGGCTGATGTCCGTCCTGTGCACTGAACGCTCTCTCCCCCACATCACGAGTAGACACGCCCCTTACTGCTGATTGGCTACAAGTTTGTTTTGCTATTCGGCTGGAATCAGTTTTCTAAAGTGTTTTTGAAAAATCACATACCCTGCCTTTAATGGTGTTGTGTGGAGTTTAATGGTGTTGTGTGTTGTGTGATGGTGTTGTGTGGAGTTTAATGGTGTTGTGTGGAGTTTAATGGTGTTGTGTGTTGTGTGATGGTGTTGTGTGGAGTTTAATGGTGTTGTGTGTTGTGTGATGGTGTTGTGTGGAGTTTAATGGTGTTGTGTGGAGTTTAATGGTGTTGTGTGGAGTTTAATGGTGTTGTGTGGAGTTTAATGGTGTTGTGTGGAGTTTAATGGTGTTGTGTGGAGTTTAATGGTGTTGTGTGGAGTTTAATGGTGTTGTGTGGAGTTTAATGGTGTTGTGTGGAGTTTAATGGTGTTGTGTGGAGTTTAATGGTGTTGTGTGGAGTTTAATGGTGTTGTGTGGTGTTGTGTGATGTGGAGTTTAATGGTGTTGTGTGTTGTGTGATGGTGTTGTGTGGAGTTTAATGGTGTTGTGTGTTGGTGTGTTGGTGT